TCAGTATTCAAAGGAAATACACGTTTTGAGGTTCCCTGATTTCAAATAACGAAGTCCCGTAAAATGGTCTGTGTTAACAGTCTAATCAAAAACGAAAAGTCATACGAAAGTGAAATTGTATATTTAAGGTTTTTATATGGTGGGGATGTTACAACAACTTTTTCGTCAAAATCGGTTGACCGGAAGAGGCACTTTATATAATGGACTAAACACATTTTTACGATTTTATCGAAAACCGCTCGAAAGATTTTGATTAAATTCATCATATCAGTGAAAAAATAAGCTGTTTTAAGTAAAATGTAGTTTTTATTCTGATTGATGTTTTCTAACAGGGCTTAAATGGCTAATTTTCAATATTAGCTTCCTCTAAAATACCTTTAATTGTTTTTATTTGAAAAAAATTACCATTTCACATTAATTTCTAATATTAAAGATAGTTAAATATAAAATATGGAAGAATTTGATAATTAATTAAAGGAGAAATAAGAGATCGTAACGAAGAATAGTTGTAATGAGGAACTAAAGGAATACGAGCGCACCCGAGCTCGCCCGAAATATTAGAACACGCTTCCATACGTAACATGAGCTTAATATAATACGGACTCCGACAGTATTATATAAGTATACATAGGTGTTTTTCATAAATGCTATTGTTGGTATTATTTCATATTTAATTGTATAGATTACAACGATATAAATATTAAAGTTTGTCGATATACGGGTACTAAGGGGGGGAGGGGTATACAACTAAAAATACCCACAATGAAATATAAATAAATATAGCGTCTATGATTTGTACTTTCACTTCCCCTATGTCTGAAAATACATTTTTCTGCGAAGAGGAGGTGGTAAGTGAAATTTGTGGGATGCGCGCATCGCACGAGATTTTATTTTTATATAATTTAGTTTTCTGATACTTATCGTATTAATGAATTATATTTATACTGCTACGTATCAAAATGGGTTTTTGAAAGATTTTTAACGGGATGCCACTGGATAAGTATTGAAGATAATTATCCAGAATTAATTAAGAAAAATATTAGTTAAACAAATTATGTCATTTGACATATTGGTCCTTGATTAATTTATTGGATTACTTCTCACAAAGGATTGTTGTGTGTTTATCTGTTCTCTAATTACCAAACATTACCTGTGCTTATAATGATATCAATAGGTGGCATGATTAAAATAATTTTTATGTACAAATTATATTTATTTACAAATTAGATAATAATGAATTGGTATATACATTCTTTTTACAAACATTAATGAACTAAACAATTGGTTGTGATGGCATGATTCAGATGGATGGAATTTAAAATTACATTGCCATTAAATATTTAAACATCTTTACAGAAATTATTGGGAATTATTTATCTAATATGTTATTTGAAGTGGTTTATGGCATGGCTGCATCTGCGAAGTCATGGGTAATGTTTCAGTCCTCCAGCAAGAAGAAAACATCAGGGTCTTCCTCAGGGCTGGGCAGTTACCTCAGGGGGTTATCAGGTATCCCGACCACTATCTAAGTAACCACTTACAAAAGATTGGGTCGGGGGTTTCAGGTACCCGCCCAGGTGTTAGAAATTATTTTTAAATATTATTAATTACCATTAGGCTAAGTTCAATACATAGCAATACCATGTAAAAAGATTGTACTGATACACTGTTTTGGCTTCACATCATATTTGAGGAACTTGGTGGCTAAATTATGTTTATAAAGGTATCGGTGGTGACAATGAATTATCTGGTTACAGATGGATAGGGCCCTCAATATTTTCTAAGTTTATTTTAAGCGAATGAAGGACTACATCTATACGAGAGAATAAACCGTTGGCTTAAATCCAGCATGTTCCAGGAGAGCGGCTTCTTTGGTGGGTGGATGTTGGCCAAGAACTCCAAATGCATGACTGCATTCTTACGACACAGCTCTAGAAATTAAAATAGCTTCCCGTGCTCTATATTGTTAAAGCTTTTCTAGGGTCAGACAACTTATCATTAACAAAATTATTTCTACACATATATAGACATTTAAACATACACACCAGCGTTTGTTTAACAGAATAACATATGAAATGTATTAGGGAAAAAAATTAATAAATAAAAATAAAAGACAAAAAGCTCGTTTAGTTCCTCCAGTACTCTGAGGAAAAAAAAAAAAGTACAGAACAAAGAACCATTAAAATGCTCTGATGGTTTTTTTCTTATTATCCATAAATATTGATTAATTGATAAAAATTAGGTCAAATCGAATAATTTTGAAATCATCCTTTCAATGGAATTTAATTAATTATATCTATCTAATATTTTAATTTTTATTTCTATAAAAAATCGATACCAGATAGCGGCGATATGTAAAAATCGACTGTATTTTTATAAAATGCTCCTTCGATAACCCAAAAATGAACATCAATATTGAACAAGTCTAGTGCTTATTAGTGTTGCCCAAATGCGAGACCGAGACGAGTCTTGGTCTTGTAAACTCAGTCTTGGTCTTGCGCAAGAGTCTCGCAAGAGTCTTGCAGTTACTTGTTAGCTTATTACCATAAAGATATTACTGTAATTTTTTAGATAGAAGAAACTTAACTGAGCCCGAATAAAAATTAGAGAAGTTAAATGCAAAAGTATATTGGTTATACCAATTATTAACATATAGTAACTAGGATTTTCAAGTATTAGAAACTATTTTACTTTAATTTTAATTTAAAAATCGATTTTTTTACCAGTTCTTGTCTTGGTCTTGCAACAGTTAGGTGGCACTTTGCTAGACCAAGACCAAGACCGATTTTGGGCAACACTAGTGGTTATTTTTCCTCTAATACGAATATTTAAGTTGTCAATGACAACATTTGTTCTGACGGTGGATCTTTGCAAATGCGCTTAATTGACAGCAAATTTAGTCTTTTACCTGTTTCGTTTTCCCTATAAAGTCAATTTATTTATTTTACATGAAAAACTTGTGAAATTCTGAAAGCGTATTTTACACCAGTAATAGACAGCCATGTTTTGGGGTCAACAGGTCTTTTTATCTAATCAAAAAACCCAAAATAAATTTTCCACAGTATTAAACAAGGGAATGGCAAACTACGGATAAATGAATCAAAATTTCAAATCTTTCTCTTAAAAAAAAAAAAGCTTTTCAGTTGGCAGAGCTACTAATTCCTATTTCAACAGTTTTGATCACTAGGGGGATACCCCCTGTACACAACTGTTCATTTAATTCTACAACTCGTTGCTCAAATTATATAAATGTAATTCACATGTATTCTGTAGTTGAGACTGTATTATTTTTTTATCAACAGAAAAAAATTAAACGAAACCACAGCTCGGACAATTTTTTAATTTCTTTTAAAATCTATGTTATACATCCCACCTCATTGTCAATTTATATAATTATAAATATTCTTATTGTTGATTTGTAACAATAATATATATTCAACTTGTCCAGCTTCATATAAGCCCAACATAGATTTGAGCCTTTTTTTTTCTAACGTGTTCCTTGTACGTTATATTGTGCTTCCTTTTCTATTTCATAAGTACAATTATATTAAAATATAATATAAATAATTTCTACATATTATATAATAATTAACATATTGTATTCGAAGGGAAAATGTCTAAATCGAAAAATAACTAAAGTCACCTAGGTAAAATCAAACTACCACCTCTAGATGAATACCATTTTCCGTACAAATATTTGGTTTAAAAAATTTATTTTGTATTGAGAAAGTAGGAAGTTAAAGGAGCACAATAATACAACGAAGACAGTAGAGTTTAAATCTCTATTTTGTATTTGGGTAATAGGAGTTTAACACATATGTAATTAAATGAACAACTGTATAATCACTGCTAAATATAAAGTCAATAGAGAGCTCCTGTACTCTCCTTATACTAAAATAAAATATGAAACTCACTAAAAATGTTTTATATAATAGAGAGATTAATTTTAGTGATATTTCTAATGAGAAAATTTATATCTTTATTCACAATTCTTTATTTTAACATTGCTTCCATCTACTATGGACTAAACTAGAAATATCAATAAAATGATTTAAATGACAAAACATATATTAAAGAAAAAATATGTGCAATACCCCCTCTGACGTACAAACAAAGCGAAGAAAAAGTCAATGAATACGCAAAATATCTCACTCAGATGTATGGGGCGAAAACAATTTAGGATTTTTTAGGAATCTTACCTTCAAAATTGAGGACGACTTGACAATACCACAACACACCCACCAGCATTTTATCCAAAAGAATAACACCAAGAAATCAACAGATATAAAGTTCTTGATTATTTAATGAGTCTTTCAGTTGACAGTGATATTTTCAATTGTCAGGAAAGACAGTAAGTAAGTTGATTCCAGAGCAGGTGATTGCAATGTTGGAATATAGAACTGTGAATAAAGGCATACAATTTCTCACTAAAAATATCACTAAAATCAATAATCAAGAATGTTGAAATTGGAGTTAGTCATTCTGCCAATTGAAAGGCTCATATATAAGTTGATTTAAAATTGGTAGATTTTATTATATAAAAAACAACTAGGCAACGATTGTTTTTTACTACAAAAATATAGGGAGATGTTTTAGTCCTTGAAGGCAAAAAAAAAAAAAAAATCAGAACTAATTCTAAATCTAATTAATAATTTTTTTAATTGCAGATAAACTACGTTATCAATTGAAAAACGTGATTAAACAGTTCATCAATAAAATAGATTGAACAAGTGGGTAATGAAATTGCTGAGAATATGAATACATAAAGAATATTATATGAAAGAATTATTGATGACTAGACCACGTAACGTTAAGTGATGCTGAGTTTTTGTAATATATTTTTGATCGAAGCTATTTTAAAAGCTTGAGCTAGGTTATATAAAATCCATGAAATTCGTTTTTTTCTTTATTTCAAAACGACAAAGGAAAAATAAATGACTGAAGGACTAGCGTAACAAATGGTAAAAAACTAATTTTACACTAATTGTGTTCTATTTTACTCACCCATTTTTCCGGGAGATATGTCGAATTGTGACGAGGAGTCGTGTACGAATGCGGGTCTCGTACAGAGATCCTAAAAAAACATTTTAAAAAATCAATCAATATTCATTAGTATAATAGGAGATAATTTTCATTAGTAATAATCATATTATTATTATAATCTTAATATATATATATATATATATATATATATATATATATATATATATATATATATATATATATATATATATATATACATATTAATTTTTATAAATTAAGGCCTCATTCCACCATTTTATTTTTAAAACCCTTGTCGTGGTTTTCATTCTCAAAGGTCATCACAAAGAATACACTGCCTTTATCGTTATATCCCTAAAATCTGAATAACCATACACAGAACAAGCTTCTTGACACATCTACTTACAACTTTTAGTAATAGACAATAAGTAGCATAAAGCGTGCAAAACGTAGGCGACACAAGTTTTTGCAGACATATCGATTCTGAATATAGGTCGTAATTCGAATCAGGCTCCTCCATTAGTTATGTCACAAAGGAGATTTCTTAAGGGACCCTTCCCTATTACAGAATATCTGCTTTTTATCGCTCGCGGTTTTTGCCGTTATCTCCAAGAAAAAATAAGTAATACATATTTTCATCGAAAAAAAATATATATATTAGGCAACGTTATGGTTCAAAATTATAATGCTCTTTCGACATATTCATGACTTTTCTTATAGAACGAGTACTAGAAATTGAATTGGTGGTAATATGTTAACATAATGTCTTTTTGGACTGCATATAGTTTATTATTATTAGAGTTGCCCAAATGCGAGACCGTGACGAGTCTTGGTCTTGCAAACTTAGTCTTGGTCTAGGTCTTGGTCTTGCGGAAGACTTTCGTAACAGTCTTACAGTTACTTATGAGCTTATTAATACAGACATATTAGATAGATAGATAGATAGAAAAAAAAACTTTATTCTGGGACTAAGTCCCTTCAGAATAACAATAATGTACAAAATAATAGAATATTACTGGCCTGAATGTTGAAACAATAAATAAAATTGATAAAATAAAATAAAAAGTAAAGAAAACCTTAGGCGCACAAGCTATATACAATACAGATAAAACTATGTACAGAGCATTTAAAATTATGAACAAAACAATTAAAACTATGAACGAATCACTTGAACTATGAACAAAATTATATTTAAGGGTTTAACAACATAAACATACACTTTGAGAAATGAAGAACGAAAAAGAGATACAATGAGTTCATTTCATAAAAAAACAAAAAAAAAAAAAAAAAACTTTACTTGAATATATATATAAAAATAAACCTGTAATGTAATATAAAAACTATTACTGTAATTTTTTAGATATGAGAAACCTAACTAAGTCTGAATGAAAAATTAGTAGAGTTAAATGTAAAAGTATATTGGTTACACCAATTCTTTACATATAGTAACTAAAATTGTCAAGTATTAGTAACTATTTTGTCTCAATTTTTATTTAAAAAATCGATTTTTTTTTTACCAATCCTGGTCTTGGTCTTGCAACAGTTAGGCGGCGCTGGTCTTGGTCTTCCAAAGTGCAAGACCAAGACCGATTTTGGGGAACACTAATTATTATCCACTTGTTCCATTATTTGTGATAGGAATGAAAAACCACAGTCACTCAATAGTCCATTATTTTTTAAGAACACGGCAGTAATATTCAAGATGTTTAATTGAGGATTTATTTTTATAAAAATATTTTTTTTTTATAATCTGGACTAAAAGAAATATTTAACAATAAAATTATATTTCATAAATCGATGAAATTAAGAAGAATAAATTTAGTACACTTTTAATCAACAATATTAAGCAGAAGCTATATCAAATAAATATCACAACACGGCATCATAATATATTTTAAATCCAGAAGAGTCAATTTTGAATGATTGCAAAATGTAATCGAAGATCCATTCAGGACTTGGAATAAGAGCAAGATTCAAAGTCTTCCCTAACATAAAATAAAACGGACCCTACATGGTCAGTCAGGAATGAAAATTTTACTCATGTAAGATAATCTTTTTTGTGCTCCCATGATAAAATTGATCCGATACATGAAACAGGAATGGACAACTTTTGGTAATTAGTTATTGTTCATACAGTGAATTAATAATATTACTGCCGATTACACATAATTTATTTTTTCATTTATATTTAAAAAGTGTTTCTATAATTCGTATAATATAGAGACAGAAACCGCTCGTGAACTGATTTGGAAAGCAAATATGTATATAGATGTTTTTCAAGATTCAGCGGCTCACGGGAAAGAGCCACTTGAAGAAGAGTTGATGACCGGAGTTAGATAAAATGAATCACAGGAATCGAAACTTTCGAAATTCTTTGCCAGCAGGGCCCGTAGAACGGCAAATGATTCCAGTATTTATTTAGAGCCATGGAGCCATGGAGAGCTCTAGAAAGTATGCTTAAAGAATTCTTGGGCTATTTTTGTTATAGCCAACAGTCCACACATAAAAATAAATTATTTCATACAGGACTGGTCTTACATTGGTCCCTTGTTTTCCTGCAATAATAAACTTCCTATGAAGTCCTTACATATCTCAACAGATATCAATAGAATAGTTACTCTCCAGTGAGCATGCAAATGTAACACTGGCCGGATATTTAACAACGAAATGAAGCTACTAATTCTAATCAAGAATCGCATTGTGCCGGCCCCAAATAGACAAAAGTGTGGATCGGAGCGACGCAAAGAAATGCGACTAATGATACGAGGAAGGCTTTGTCCATTGGCGGGCTGGGCGGAGCATTGTGGCGCAGGCAAGAGTCCTAAGTAGTATTCATTAGGCAGCTCATTATAGAACACCTGATGACTAGGGGATTATGCACCTGTTGATTAGTCGGAGACGCGCACTGTCTCGGCAGCCATTATCTCACCTGATGTGCATCAAGGGTGGAATCGATAGGAATCGAGTAATGATGAAGTTAACGATGCACAGTAACTATAAGTTTATTGTGCACTATGGATGCAATCATAAGTTAATGAGCCTATCTACCTCAGGTGATTATACACTCGATATATCATTAATAGTATACTAGGAAAGGTACCTAGAGTATATATATTTATAATTAATCGTACATCCTATCTTGGAGAGATATAATTATAGGAAAGTAAACTCATATGATAAAGCTTAATTGAATGGCAAGAATCTAGAGTGCATCAATAAGCCTTTTTATTATAGTATATACAAGATGTTTCAGGGTTAAGTGGCCTAACTGCAAAAATTAACAGAAAACTTTTTTCAGTAAAATATATATATATATTTTTAATCTTTTATTATGATATTTACAACTGTATTAGTATGAATACATCAAGTAAATGTGTACAGAGGAATATCATCACATGAAACACGCTTGTTGAGAAACTACCCATTGGTAGCACTCTAATAATTTGTTTACATGAGAAGATCACGAGGCAATCTTCTTTTCAGACGCCTCGGAGGGTTATCAGGAATCGAAGAGGAAGCAAGGTTAGAAACAAGAGGATTCGGATGGTTATGAAGTTTATTATGGAAGGATAGGTATCTGGATTTGGCCAAATCGGAAACATATGGTCAAACATATGATCATCTTTATGGATTATTTCATTTGTGACAAAGTAAGGAGCATTGAGGATTTTACGACGGATTTTGGATTGTAAAGATTAGATACGAGAGGAATTTGATGGTTTAGTGGAGTCCCATAGCTCAACTCCATAAGTCCAAATAGGTCTTATTATAGTCATGTATAAGAGTCGTTTGTAATTCATTGGAAGTTTAGAGCGTTTGTCCAGTAAGTGTTGGAGTAAGCGGAAACGTCGAGCAGTTTTTTGTCGTTTCAGTCTTGTATGAGGATTCCAAGTGAGACGTTTGTCCAGCTGGAGTCCTAGGTATCAGATTTGTTCTACAGGGATAAGTGGGGTGTTATTAAAGGATACTATAGGACAGAAAGGCATTGGTTTACGACGAAGGGTAAAGGTGATTTGATTGGAATTTATTTTAATCATCCAGTTTTGATACCATTCTTCAAGGTTTGTGATGTGTGATTGAAGAGTATGGGATGCAATTGTTGGATCATTATTAACTGACAGGATACATGTGTCATCAGCATACGTTGTGATGGCAATGTTAGGATGGGTTGGGATATCAGCTGTATAAACTGTGTAAAGGATAGAACCAAGGATACTACCTTGAGGAACTCCGGCAGATTCAGAAAAGAGGGATGAATCAGTAAAATATGGATTTTTTAAAAACTAATTTCATAATTTTTTCAACTAATTTCATAATTTTGTAACCGATTTCATAATTTTTTCAACCAATTTAATATACATAATTTAATGAAGTATCGCTATGGAGAAATCACTTGGTATTCGAATAGGATTAGTTCGAAGTAAATTAGAGTATTCCCTCTTTCTATTTATTTATTTGCTTTTATATGCAAAACATCAGTCTCAGTTATTCACCGGTCTTGTTAAATTTAAGTTAAATCTAGATTCATCGATGAGAGAGCGATTTTGAGCTATCCATTTTTCAAAATGTAGATCATATTATTTTCTTTGTTCAGTAGCCAACTCCAAGTTCTTGTGGTCAATTTTTTCTGAAGCGTGTTTTAAGTTAATTTTCAATTCAACTAGTCCTCTATAAACTGTGGAGATCGAAACATTAACTCTCCATTGAGACAGCCTCTCTTTCATTTTTAGTAAAGTGTTAGCTGCGTTTTCTTCAATTACTTCCCCAATTGCAGCAAGAGTTTCGGGTGTCAGGTTTATACGCTGGGTTCCATTTCTTTTTTTACAATAATTTGTTATGTATGTTAGAGTACGCCGGTTGAGCATTGAGATCAATTTGTATTACAGTATCCTTCATTGTGAGATCTACTCGTTAAAACAATCTTATGAACAACTGTTTTGAATATTGATGATACAGTGAATTAATAGAATATTTAGCTTTTCTTCGTTGCTTACGTGATGGTCTGGCCATTGAACCTTGTGAAGATGCAGATGAAGACTCACTATCGCTCACAATCAAATTCCGCAATCTATGACTTCCTCTGTTGACTGGTTTCTGCGGAGATGAACTGTCACCACTCATGTTCGACTACTAAAGTGTTCCGTAACAAGACTGGCAAATAACTGAGGCTGTGGTGTTCTGCATAGATAAATAAATAACAGAGAGAATGAAATTGAGTTTCCTTCGATGTAATCCCCTTCGAATTCCACACGAGGTTTTTCATAACCATACCTCATTAAATTAAGTGTATGAAATTGGTTGAAAAATTATAAATTTGACTGAAGCTATATTAAAAAGCTATATCCAAGCCGATAGCACTGCTGAGGTGAAAAATCTTACGCACTTAAGCAATTGGAAAGCTACCCAAAACAGAAGATGAAAAGGTTTTAGAGGAAATTAATATATTATCTTCTGTATAAATAAAGTTATTAGTCATATAATATGGATTTTTTTTAGAAATTTTACATTACAATATTTCAGGAATGTATGGGTGTGAGGTAGCTCAGTGGTTGGGCACTGAGCTTCCAATGCAAAGGTCTCAGGTTAGAATCCCGGCTCATGGCAGAAAATTTATTTATTTGTTTCATTGGCCGTGGGGCGACCCTGGGTCGAGAGATCCTCCTGGGGCACACCCAGCCTCTATAAAGTGGGTACCCTTAATTAAATAATTAGTTAAGGGGGAAAACCTGGTGGTTGAGCGTGATCTCGATCAAATCACCTCCTTGCACAAGCGTTGACCTAGAAACAGTACTTTCCCTAAATAGTACTGAACCCCAGATCCTTCATGGGTTGTAGTGGTACAGGTTTTTTTTTTTTTTTTTTTTTTTTATGGGATGGTTACAATCACCTCCATATGAATAATTTCTCAATTTCTTCCTAGTGTTAAGTCAATGAAAGCCAAGTCAGTGACATCTAATGAATAAGGAAGAGTTTTAACCTTCACCTTCTGCTTAGATTTTGAATATGGATCCCTCCAGTTATGCGAGTGGAGAACAAACGTGGGAGAGGTTTGTATCTAACAATAATTTGAGTAATGACTCAACTGTTTTGATTGACTAGCTATGACTGATATCATCACTAAAATTAGAGTCGAGTATGAGGTCAGGAGCAAGGCTTCAATCTAGACTAATCTCGGTCCATATATATCCTGAACTATGAATAGATTCCAACAGTTTGAAGTAGTGACTGCAAAAAATCATTAATTTATTTGACAATGTTTACGAAATACTTATTATTAGGGTTGCACTCCGATAAAATTAAAACAGAAAGCTTATTGTTAATAAATAATTATTCCTGCAATTGCTTGAATTATTTTCATCAAAACGTAAGCATATGGATTAGGAACATTTTTTAATTCTGATTTATTATTTTCAATAATGAACCATTGTGAACGAGCAAAAAATTAAATTATCAAGACTGCAGTAGCCCTCTCAGTATCAATCATATTTTTCAGGAATGGCCTTATTACACCTCAAGCTTAAATATATTATTTATAAAACCATATATATCAGTAGTATTAAACAATAATTCATCAAACATAAAAACAGTAATAAATTTCCTTGAAATCCATAGGCTACTAAATAAAATATAGAAACAAATATAATTGTTATTTTATTTTTTTTAATATATCTATTTCATTTTTTATATGTTTTCGTTTTTTATTTTATCTATCTATTATTAGTTTTGATTATTTATTATTTTTTCTCTCTTCTAAAGAGTTTATGAACTCAACAGATAGCAAAAATAACTGACTCACAGGCGTTTAATCCTTAAAGACTATACAAACCAATGAACAATTCGAAAAATTTTCCAAGACTGGACGGGTTTTATTGAAATTTAAATCAATGTCAGAGGTCACTCGACCATGATCCTTCTACCGCGACATTACCATCTACACTTTCCTTTCAAGATGGCGGTCGAAAAATCAGTTTTGAAATGGACAGTAGCGCCTACACTAATGTAACAATTTGAATGAAACTTGGCCAAAGTATTTTCCTAGAAGCTCTTTAAATTTATGTATGTAACATAAATTCTTCACCGAAAAGCACTTTCCTATCAAGATGGCGGACGAAAAACCTGTACTGTATAGACTGTAGTGCCTAAACGAATGTACCGATTTCGATGAAACTCGGCTAAAGTCTTCTCCTTTGAAACCATCTAAATAACATACTTCACCGAAACGAAGCTGGAAAAAATGTAACGAGGGGTGGTAAAATTGGATTTCCAAATAACTTGAAAAATATACACTTTTGTGTTGTATACGATATTCTAAAACTTTACGCATATTCTTTTAAAAAAAGTTGTAGTCGGACAATGTGGTAAAAAGATATTTTGTTCTAAATATTTTCCATATGTTCTACTGCAAGGCTAATGTCCTTTGTTTTGGTTATTGAATTTTAAAAAGTTGTAAATAAACTTTCAATTTTGTCTATTTTTCTTAGCAAATTACTAATGATGAAAAAAATATATATTAAGGCCAATATTAGAAATAACCTATTATTAATTTTTCGTTATGAGACAAGGAAAGTAATGTTACTTTTGATATCTAAATGTTTAAAAATAACAAACGTTTGAGTAATAATCTGAAGTTTTTTTTTATCATTTATTGAAATTTACAACTGTATAAATATAATACAAAAAGTAAATCTTCTCTAAGAATATAAAATTTGAAAAATATAAAAATTAATAATATATATTTATTTATTTTTCTTTTTTAATGAATACCCTAAACAATTTTCTCTTCTAATATTCACTACAGTTAACCAACCATCAGTCCACAATTATAAAATATGATAGTAGTCTTTAAAGAGACTACCCATTGTTAGCACTCATTAATAATAGTAATAGTTAATAATAGCATTTAATAATTATTTTAGTTTAGGATATCCTTGGCCATCAGAAGCCTTGGAGGATAATCGTCAGGTGTTATTTCGGATGAAACAATATGAACTAGAGGGTTTGGGTGACCATGGGGTTTAGAATTGAAGGAGAGATATGTATTTCGGGCTCTGTCATCAACAAATGGATAAAACCCAATTCCGTATTTTCAAATCGTTCTGAATATCGTAGTGAGACAATTATTAGGTCGATACAATAAGGATACATTTCCGTAATAGAGATACGCGTAAAAAACACAAGTGCATTATCAGTTTAGATCAATTTTTAGGAAAAAAAGAAAATATTTTTATAAATAAAAGTATATACTCGCATTTAATTTATCACAATATACAACAGGTTACAGAAAAAATAAATAAATAAATATTATAAAGTTTGCAATAATTTATTGTAGAGGTTTATTATTTACTGGGGGGAGGAGGGTACTCTCTGTATGCCTAACGGCGGACCAACTCCCATTTTACAAATTATACACCCATTCATTTAATTGTTCTATTCGTTGCTCAAAATCGTATAACTTTAATTGACATGTATTCTGGAGTTCAGACTGTATTACTTTTTCTTAACATAAAATAAACGAAATGAAATCTTAGATCCTTAATCCTTAATTAATTCCTTTAAAAATGTATATTTTATATACATCGAACCTTCTTGTCAATTTATATTATTATAACTTTTCTTATTGTCAATTTGGAACCATAATAATCAACTTGTCCGGCTTCCTGTAAGGCTAACATTGATTTAAGCATTTCATATCTAATACTTTCATTGGACATTATACTGTGCTTCCTTCGCTATTTTATAATAATTATAATTATATCACAACATAACGTAAATAATATTATATTTAATATAATAATTATTATATTGTATTTAAGTGGAAAATGTCTAGATCGAAGAATAAACTGCTGTCACCTAGGTAAAATCAAACTACCACCTACAGATGAATACCACCATTTCCCGTAAATATTTTTGATCCAAAAAGTTTATTTTGTATTAATAGAATATGTGGTTACAGGAGCTCAACACATATGTAGGCAAATGAACAGTTGTATAATTTGTACAATAATCGCCATAAGAGAGCAGCACTGTCCAGCTTAGTTGAGCTCCTGTAATCCTCATACTCTCCTAATATTAAAATAAAATAAAATATGGCAGTCACTAAAAACTTTTTTATATAATAGAGAGATTAATTTCAAGGTAATCACAACTGTTTACAGTTTATTATCTGACGCAATTATTAATTACCTAAATTAAATACTTTAATATTTTTTAGTTATCGCTTCGTATTAAACAAAATACGTGACATGTAAAAAATATAAACTTGAATTTCCTGTATTTCTGCGGAAAATCAAACCATGGCTAATATAAACTATTTGCAATTCTTGAGGTGTACTATCACCTATATGAATAGTTTCCTTTACGTACGGGTCACCCTGTACTACATTTGTTTTTCTTGTATCAGGCTACAATATGAGAGTCAACACTGAAGCACAAACAATTTCATGATGTTGAACATTGCATTCTAGTGAAAACAATTGATGGCAAGTTGGCTTACTACGACGCTAAACCTCTATTATTTATTTTTAATTATTTGCAGAATTGAATGAGGTTTGTTGAAAACTTAGTGGGAGGGAAGGCCACAGAATAAATTATTCACTATTTATTACTTATATTGAATCAAACGATTTGTTTACTTTATTGCTACAAACTAACCCTCAAAAAGTTTATTTTTATCCGTCTTCGGCGAAATCACACGAAGGGTTACGTGTTTGGGTTGTCCAGTAAAAGTAACGATTTTTTGAGCGAACTGTTGGATTGATTTAAACATTTGATGGCTTAAATAATTTGGTGACATTCAAATCATGAGTGTTTAAATCAATCCGCTAAAATTTATGTAGGGTTTTTTTGAGTGAACGACTAGACTGATTTTTAAGTCAGGTGGTTCAAATTATTCGATGAGATCTCGTGAATACTTTTGAACAATATGGGTTTAAAACACAAAGAAATGTATTAAATATGTTATAATCATATTTCATCCCATGTATATACAGTCAACATCCGAAAGTCTTGAGTTTTGTTCGGGAGGTGGGAGCCATCCTGAATACCACTTTTTAATATTCCTTTATGTCAATATCTCCAATACTTTATATTATATTCACTAAAACTCTTGGAACTGGGGCGTTTTCAATCTGGAGGGAGGCAAACTTTGTCTATTTAATTAGGTACTAAGAACTCGTAAATATCCATTAGCTTTCTACTTGAATCGTAAGATAATTTGATCACAAAATCGATAAAAAAGGTGGCCTATGTAACCTCGTTATTTTGAAAATTTGGGGGTGTAGGTCACGCCAAACGGCTCAATATTTTTGAAGGCCACATTTTTTATCGATTTTGTGATCAAATTATCTTACAATCCGTAGGAAGCAAATGTGTATTTACGAGCATTTAGTATCTCATTAAATAGACAAAGTTTGCCCCCCTCCAGATTGAAAAGGTCCCAGTTCCAAGAGTTTTCGTAAATAAAATAGTTGTAGGTT